GGACTCTGGGAGGGGGGAGAGGGGTCAGGGGTCAGGAGAGAAAGGTCAACGTGGGGTCACCACTGTAAAGAATCCTCACTCACCTGCATCCGCCTACTTCCCCGAGACCATCCTTCCTCCGTGCCATCCCCCATCCCATGTCCCTCGGGACTACCAGCCCTCTCTCCTTCCCCCACTCCTCACCCTCACCTTTGGAGCAGGTCACTGCTGCATCCCCCAGACTCAAGGGCACCTCGTGAGTCAGGCATCCAAACACGGTCACGTTTTCCTGGCGCAGGGAGCTCTGGGGAAGGGTGAGGAGATGAAGCTATCCCTCCCACCAGGACCGACCACACCCATCAGCCCGGACTCCTGCACCTGTTAACCTCCCGCCCCCCCTCCCCCTCCACCACCACCACCCCATCACCTAAACTCCGCCAGGCCCTCGCTGGACCTCACATTCCTGCAGGTGCTCTCAGCGCCAAAGCCAATCTCGCCTCCCTTTTGAGAACACAAAACCTTGGGAAACGCCAAATGTCCCACATCAGAGATGCTTCAAAGACTGATGAACAGACAAGGCCCCATTCTGAATCCTTTGGGCGGAATTGTTAGGCTGTTCCGGCTAAAGAGAATACCCCCTGTTTTCAATCGTATCTAGCTTTTTTTTTGGGGGGGGAGGGTACAGGGGGGAAGAGGAGCTGTCGCTGGACATAGAAAGTAGTTGTGAACAAAGGCAACTGTAAGATTTCAATCATCTTCACCTCTTCACTGGGGCCTGAAGGCAGGAGGCATGTAAAGAAATGCACTCTTCCTCAGGTGAAATGATCAGGTACTCCCGGGTGTAATAGAATGCCTGAGGGGTTAAATGTAGCAGCCTGGGTGGGATTAAAAGAAACCAGATATCCATAAGAGTAAATGCAAAGGGTTGTCTAAAGGAATAAAGGCAGCAGGTTGCCATAAGCTCACCTCCAGAAGGATTTGAGGCAGCTTATTAAATACATAATGACAGGATAAAATCAATGCATGAGGGAAATGGAAAACTCAAGATAGAACAATAAAATTTGCTCCTAAATGTGGACCATATATTTGATGCTGACTTCCAAGCAACCAAAGCAAAGAAGGAAACATGGTGAGTGATCAGATGTGTAAGTCCATCAGGTAAAGGTTAGTCAGAGGCCCATTAGAGTAAATGGACAAGAATGCAGAGAGGGACAGGCTAAGGGGGTGCCCGGGACTGGGCCTCTATTCCCAGGATACTGAGGAAGAACAGTATGGGTACAACCGGTCTAGGTCAAATCAAGGCTTCACTGTCATTGCCCAAAGGCATGGCAATAACAAATAAACATACAGTGTTTAGTCAGAACAGAGTCAAACAGAATTTGAGTATAAAAATAAGGAGCATCTTCAAGTTGAAGAATTAGCTCTGTCCTGACCAGCAGGAACACCTGAAAGTTCTGACCTAAGTACCATAACAGACCACATCAAACCACAGACCAAATCTCAGGTCGGTTCATAGGAAAATGGTCCCCGCCCCAGAGCTGGGGGATAGTAGAATTAATTAAAAGGACCCCTGGCTGAGGGATCCTTATTGGATCAATGCTAACCTAAGAGAGCTGCTAATGGCCTGACACAGGACTCCGCCCTCAGCCCAGTCTTACCCAATGCTGAAAATAATGACTAAGAGGCACCGAAGGCTGGCTTTTCAAGTGTGTGAGTTCCATAGTGGAGAAAGCCCAAGATCCAAACCAGTATCATTAGGCAATGCCTCAAAGATGAACGTAACTTCTTCCATTGGGGTTAAAAAGTTCACTGCAAAAATATGAGCTGGGAATTGCCAGTGGGTCACATGACCCATGCTCAGGGCACAAAATATGTATGCCCCTTGGTTACAATTAGATAAATAAGAAGTTAATATGGGAAAGGACTGGGAAGATACACACCAAAAGACTAAGCAGTTATTTTATGAGAATGTCTTCCTCTATTTTCCAAAGCTTTTACATGTGATTCTATTATTTCTGTAATTAAAAAGTAAATTAATAAAATTGTTTTTGAAGAAAATAAGAAGGAAGGAAAGGAAAAAGACCCAGAGATCTTTATTCACCCCAAACCCCAGGTGATCGGTGTGGTGCTGGAGCAGAAGAGGTAATATAATCACAGTCTGCACACACACCCTGGTCAGACCACCTCAGACCATTTATTTCAGAGACATGTTGACCAGAGGTTTGACCAAAGAAGACAGCAGAGGATGGAGGGAGGTCTAAGATGATGATATTTTCAGCTTTGAGAAGGTTGAGGGGCATCTGAAGGGTTGCTAAAATAGGACAGGGCTATAACAAATGCACCACACTAATACAAGATGTGAATAATTAGGGAGATTGTGTGGGGACATGGAAACTCTCTGTACTTTCCACTCAATTTTTCTATAACACTCCCTGAAAAAATCAAGTCTATGAATTTTTTTTTTTTTAAGGACTGGGATAGATTCACTAAAATATAGTTTCTGGGGCAAAACAAAGATCAGATCATAAAAATCCACAGAGGTAGGTTTGCATGGAATGTCAAGACTGCCATTAGCAACTGGAGCTGTCTAAACATGGCCTCTGTAGGTGAACTCCCCGTCACAGGAGATATGCAAGAAAGTGAACACTTATAGAGAGAGGCCCTTAGTAAGTGGGCGATTCAGTTACAAAACTACAAAAATCTGGACCATTCTGAATTGCTCCGCTGACCCATCCCATTCGCAGTAGAGTCAATACCCAAGGCATGTTTGTTGATCAGAATTAGGCTGATATCGTCTCTAATCTTAAAGCTGGGTAAAAGCAACCTGCATAGTCTTCCACACCTGCCACCTTCTTTTTCAAGTTCCCCCACAGGGGCAGCCTCCCCCTCTCCACAAAGTACCGCATTGAGATGGAGCTCCAGGCTAAGGACACCTCCACTGTCCAGCACCGGCAGCAGCCTCAGGCCAAACACAGCCGGGCGCTCAGGGGGCAGGGCCACGCTGGGGCCGAAGAAGATGTAGAAGTGGACGGAGAAGGTGTCCAGCTCATTGCGCAGCGTCGGGCGCACTGGCCAGCAGTGCTCAGGTGGAGACGTGGCCCCGGGCTCTTCCACGGGGGCACCAAGCGATGGTGGCTCTAGGGGCAGTGGTTGGTTGCCCAGTGACTGGGGCATGTTCATGGCAGCTCCAGGGGCCAGGGCACGGGTCAGGCTGGGCTTTGGGCACTCTGTGGGGCAAAGGAAATCAGAGCTGAGGCCTGCCACCCTCACAGCCCTTTAGCCCCACCACAAACCAGATCTGAGCCAGACAGGATTTGACAAGGGTGGGAGGGGTGAGAACTAGAATTACATGTCCCTTGGGAGTATGCGACATCTGGGGTCACAGTAAAGAGCCCAGGGACTTCCTAGTGGTCACAGCTAATAGAATGTCATGTTGGAGGGGATCAAGGTCAGCTCTCCCTCCCGAAGGACACTGCTGGAACAGATGACTGCCCTCTCACTGACTTGCATGGGCTTTTGCAAGGCCAATTCCCAGAGGTCCTAGCTGTCCTTGCCTACCCAGGGAATGGAAAGACAGATTAAATTAAGGAGAACAATCAGGTCCCTTAGTGAGCCCCAAGTGGTGGGAAAATTATCTGAAGGCTTTCCAATGACTTTAAGCTCCAAGTGGAAGGGCTTCAGGGAGTGTGAAGGAGCCTGGGTGGGGTCAGGGAGATTGTAGGGAGATGGCAGAGGGGTAATGGACACAGCACCATGCCTGCCTCCTCCCAATCACAGATGTCAACACAAGCTGGGTGGCTGGGGCAGATGTGGGCTTCTGACCTTGCAACCGCACACACAGCTGGAAGCGGATGGTCCTGCCAGAGCCCCGGGATGGTGTCTCCACACGCACGTAGACCCAGCGGCCCCAAGGGGGCAGTGCTAGCTCCAGCTGGCATACCGAGGCACCTCCACATGCCACAGAGCTCGAGTTGTGCAGGGGTGGGGCCTTGGGGCGTAGGCGAAGTGTCAGGGGGCAGGCGGATGCCCCTCGGCCCCCCACACACACCAACTGTGCTGAAACCCTGTAAGTGAAGCTGGGCACAAAGACCCTGGGCAGAGGAGAGTTTGGGGGTAAGAAAACACAGGGTATGGACAGGTGAGAGGGACACCAGAATGAGGGAAACACTGGGAAGAAGGGGGCAAGGAGGAGCTAGGGACACAGAATGGGAGGCCCTTTCAGATCCTCCTCTCCGTGCTGGGAGAGAGGGAGGCAGGAGTCCAACCCACCCTGGGGGCTCTGGAGGCCCAGCAGTCCAGGGTGGCCCGGGGGACAGCAGGAACAGGCAGATAGACTTAGAGGCCAAGAGAAGCCTATTCCCTGTTTGAGGTCAGGGAAGGAAGAAGGAAAGGGACAGGTTTTGGGGGAGGAGGGGGATTCAACTTACTTGAACAGGGCCGAGCGATTGTGGGGGGAGAGGGTTTGCTCTGAGGGACGGCCAGGCACCAGCACAGCAACGTCCAGTAAACGCCGGACAATCAGCTGCGGCTGAAGGAGGTACTGACACTCATCCTGGAGACCCTAAGACAAAAGCAGGGGTGGTAGGGGAGAGACAGCAAGGGTGCTGCTAAAGCAAGGTGAACAGAAATGGCCGATGGGGGGAACACCTCTGGCTCCTGCTCTCAGGGCAGTGACTGAGGTCTTTAAGTTCTGGGTCCTTCCCGCTGGATTAGCTGGGTCCTTCCTAGATCTGCAGATCTGCTGTGATCCCCTCAGCCTTGGCTGAAGTTTGGCATTCAAATCCAGGCCCTTCTGACAATCAGGCCCAGCCTGCTCCTCCTGCAATCTAACCCGTCCTCCTGAGCATTCCTGAACAGCCCTCAAGGCAATTTCAAACCACCCCAACCCCCTGCCAAGCCCTCAGGAACTTACAACACTGGCTCTCTTTGGGCACTGTAAAGCTCTATAAAGGCCTCCAATCCAACCTCTTCCTCCTTCCTCTCCCCCACAATGTGCATCTTTAATTTCCTTTATCCCCCCCCCCCCCCCCCCCCCCCCCCCGCCTGCCCTTTCCAAGTACTTGTCCATGCTCTGCTTTAATACCCCCAGGGAAGGGCCACTCTTTAGCTCCAGGCAACTTGAGAATAGAAACCTGATCTTATTTTTGTTTCCCCAGACACAGAGCCTAATAGGAAGTGTACACCTCGAGGATGAGTTTGCTAGAATCAGTGGGAGAAATGAATCAACACAGCTGAGGGCAGCTCTGACGTTCATGAAGCCTTCTGTCTCCCCTCCCACTGCTTCGTCTCAAGGTGCATCTGCTTCTTCCGCTCAGGCTAGAGAACAGCCACATCTCCCTGCTCTTCTGGATCAGACCCCCAGCCCTTCTCTCCTCAGCTGACACCACCCCTGACCCACCCAGCTTCAGCACTCTTCGGCCGAACACAGTCCCGTTTACTCCAGTCCCTTCTCCGCCGCGTTTGCAGCTATCTAAGCCCTGCCACTGGAGCGGTTCAGGGGAGGAGGTGCCTCCTGAATAGGGCTCTCTGGCCTTCTGAGAGTAGAGGACCTTGTGCGCCCCAATAAAGTAGAGGCCGCTGTTCACGTACATGTTTATTCTGACCGAGACATAGCTCTAAATCTTGTTCTGGGACAGAAGCCCCGGGCTCTGACATGCCCCTGAGTTCCACACCATGGGACAAGCCAGCCAAGGCACAGAGTTCCAGCAAAGCTGGAAGGAGGCCCTGAAGGATGCAAGGCCAGAAACCCCATTACCCTCCACCTGGAATGATGCAAAAAACATCACTGCAACCCCAATGCCTCCCACACCACCTGGCACACACTAGATGCTAAAAAAAAATATCTGCTGAGTTAAAGAATGAAGATAAAAAATAGCATACCTAAAAAAAAAAAAAAAAAAAAAAAAAAAGGAGTATGCCTTCAGGGAGTTCCTAAATCCCTCATTTCTCAGGGACTGCAATCTCTGCTATCCAAAGCAAATGTCCCTCATCTTTGGTATCAAACCTTAAGGACCAGAACTACTAGCACAAGTGATTTTATCAACACCATGTCCCATGACAGGAATCACCCACAGCAATCTTGTGGTGAATGATCCCCACAGGCAGGCGCCCATGATCGAAGGTGGCCCGTTTCCTTGTGGGACAGTTTAGGGGAAGAAAAACTGCTCCATTTATTGCTTGTTAGTGGCTTAACTGAAGGATCAGTGGACATACCGCAATGGTTAAGGTGTGCTCCTGCCTTACACTGTGTAAGTCCAATACCCCTCCTTATTGTAAGAGGAGCATTCAGTGGCGACCAGGGGAGGTGCAGAGATTCAGCGACCTTCTCCCTATGATGGGGCTAGTGAAAGGGCACCAGAATGAAAGTCCTCAAGAACAGCCAAGGCAAAAGCCAAGTGAGAGTCCAAACTGAGTCAACATCAGCGGTCATGGAAGGAACTGGGACAAAGCCTGGAAACTTGGGAAACCAAGAGGGCCAAAAGTGAGAAGTAGTGTGGGGAAGAAGCTGGAACAGAACACCCTAGATTGATTCCTAGAGCAGTAGTCGGCAAACTCACTAGTCAACAGAGCCAAATATCAACCAAATATCAACAGTATCACGACTGAAATTTCTTTTGAGAGCCAAATTTTTTAAACTTAAACTTCTTCTAATGCCACTTCTTCAAAATAGACTCGCCCAATACGTGGTATTTTGTGGAAGAGCCACACTCCAGGGGCCAAAGAGCCGCAAGTGGCTCACGAGCCGCAGTTTGCCGACCACAGTCCTAGACTGTCCAGGTATGGCTGGGCCGGGTTTCTTTGGAAAGGCCTAAGCAGGGTGGCCAGTCCCAGGCTCTGGATGGGGCTTGCAGACTGAAGGGGCCCCAAAACCACTTGGCCTTCTGCGTGAAAATATCCCAGTACCCAGTACATGTCAGTCCCTGACCCACTGTCGGTCAGCAGTAGTCAACATGTACGTAAATGAGTGCTGGACAGACTACAAGGGGCAAGAGTGGATGCAGGGAAACCACTTAAAAGGTTACTGGGGTGGCCCAGGAGAAAGCTGAGGGCAGGTGTGCTAAGAGTGGAAACAGAAGTAGATGCATAAAGGACATGCTTTTAGAAGTAGAGTCAATGAGACTTTTCTTTTGGAAGTGAGTGTAGAGAAGTGGTGGGAGGGGGGCGGGGAGAAGAATCAAGTCTGACATCTAAATTTGGAGCTTGAGTAGTCAGTGAATGGCAGTGCCATTTACTGAGAAGAAGACTAAATAAAGGAAAGACTTGGACTAGGAGAAGTGAAATGGGAACTAAAGAGACTTTTGCTTTTGGCTTTATTTTAATTTGTACAGGCTAAGTTTGAGACATTTCTGAGATTTCTAATCGAAGACGTCAAGTAAGCAGGTGGGTATAAAGACTGAGATTCAAAGAAATTAGGACTCACTGAGTATACTTGGAAGGCATTAAATTATAGGTGGTACTTGAAACTATTGTGCTGGGGATACCTAACAGGACAATAGATAATAAGAAAGGAGTTGTCCCAGGACCAAGCATTGAAGCCCACAATATGCTTGATCAAGCAGAGAAGACACCAGGAAGAGGCAGAGAAGGAGTGGGCAGTGGGCAGGATGAAAACCAGGAGAATTCTGTGAGGGCCAAGAGAAGAGTCCTTCAAGAAGGGAAGAGTGATATAAGGAACTGATTAACAGCTGGTTACTAGTTAACTCTGGAGAGGGGAAGAGGGAACTGAAGGGAGACAAGGGAAGAGGAAGACTTACTTTTCACTGCCTTTTGTACCTTTCGAATGTTGTACCAGGTGCACTTATTACCTATTCAAAACACAAACAAAACAGTTGAGGAGGAGGAAGAGCAGAATGAGCGCTGTTAGCAGATTTTTACCTCTTCAGTTGAGATACTGAGCCATGTTTCATCCTAGTTGATGGATTCAACCAAATCCTTTCATCTGTACAATCTGCTTCTCTGGCTTCCTTATCATGGTTTTCATTATTTTATCTGCTGTCATTTACTTTCAAATCTTAGACTGGGGAGAGAAAGCATTCAAGGAGAACTGTACCCCAGATATTTTGGAGAACTTTCCTCTAATGAGCCATTTGGGTGCCAGATGTTACCCACAGTTCAAAAGCCAGCCCCTTAGGGCAGACTGGCAGCTGGGCATCACAGGATGAACACATGTTCTGAGATAGGAAAGGCAAGGAGATGGAGGGCATGGGTCAAGATGGAAGAGCTTGATAGAAAAAGGAGAGGAAAGGAGAAGAAATGAGATCAGTTTTGGACAATATGAGTTTGAGAAGATGGCAGAAGGGCAACAAAAATTTGCCATACCCCCACTATGTGCCAGCCTCTGTGCTGGGTGCTGGGAATAGAGTGGTGAATAACACAGATACATTGGCTAGCAGAAGTGTGGGACCAGAGCTCAGGACAGTGGCCTGGGCCAGATAAGTCATTTCCCTTTAACAACTTCCTAAGGTTTTCTATCACTCTCAGGATAAAGTTCAAACTTCATGATCTGGCCTCTGCTCATCCTTCCCTCTCCCTTACCTGTCCCAACAACCACCCAACACTGAACCACTACAGTTCTCAACCTTCAGCCCATGCTACATCCACCCTGCAATGCCTTTCCTTGCCTTCTCAACTTCAGGCCTCACCTTCTAACAGTTTCTAAGACCACCTCTGAATTAGCCATCTCTCCTTTGTCCTCTCAAAACACTTCTTATATCTCACTACCTCTTTATCTGTGTCCCTAGCCTGGGACAAAGCAAGCACTCAAGGACTAAGGTCTAAAGGGAGGTCTGAGCTTACCCCCAAAGCTACAATAAAAAGGGTCCTCTAAACAGCCCTGCCTTCTTATTGCTAGGACTTTTCAGTCCCACCCAAGGATATACCTGAACCCATATTACTTCCTGTGTTGGCCAAGCCTCATAGGAAGTCAAGACCTGGAATAAGGAAAAAGCAACTTGGGAAGATGAAGCCCTGAAGAAATATTCTGGATAATCCACCCACAGGCTAGAATCTAGAGAATTAACCAAAAAACTTAAAGAATCCTTAGAAGCCCATGTAAGATTCCTAAAGGAGTCAAATTCTCAGAGGGACTACAAAGATGATCCTTTCTTCCCATCCCCAACCCTTAAGCTTCTAGAACAGGCCTAACTGAAGAGCTACATCTCTCATGGTGCCCAGGTCTGCTGCCATTCATAGGCAAGGTGTAACTGTGCCCTCCTCTTTCTAATCTCACCACACTCCAGAGAGTTCTGCTGGCTAGGGCTCCAGCTTGCAGTAGCAAGTCCCCCACACCCCATTGCTTTATCTAGTTGCAAATGGGTATGTCAACCAAACCTGGTTGTGACCTCTCCTAACTAGGCTTCAGCTCCCATAATATCAACCCAAGCCTAGGTCCCTATTTCCTCCTGACCACCCAGAAAAGTTTTTGGATAACTAGAGCAGAGCTTCAGAAAGACTTTCCCTGCCAGTCCTCGCAAAGAGAGTCCAGGAACAGAGTTAGGATCAAGAACTGGCTCTTTGGAATTTGACCAAAGACCTAAGACAGTCCTCCAAATAGAATAACCCTTCGTTCTGATAAGAGTCAAGACCTACCTAGAACCCAGAGCCATTTCCAGCCGAGCGCCCAACATGCTCTCATCCAGAGGGCTCCCAGACCTTGACGGGGAGTTCTCTTGTACATCTCTCTTAGGAAGACAGACATTCCGTCAGCCCTAGTTCCCATTCTGAAAACAGCAGTGCCAGTACACATGTCCCTGTGGGATTCTCAGCTCACTCAGCTACAGTAGGAGGAAGAAAAGTGAGTCTACCACAGCCACAGAGCTCCTTCCGTCAAGGATCTCAGCCTGGAGAGGTATCTCCAGATCAAATCTTCACCTGATTGGAAATTTATGTCCCTCTCAATGGCCAAACCCTGATAGCTTTCATGTTCTTTAGCATCCTGTTCTTTAAATCCTCTCCCTGCTCATGCTCAGTCCTTACCACTGGCCCACACACACATGGCCATCCCACTCTTGACAATGACCAGCTTATCACACCTTCCAACTGGAGTAAGAAAACTACAGATCCTTTCACTACAAGAGGGAAGCCTGCCCCACACCCAGGAGCGGCAGGAAAACTGGCATTTCTTTCCACTCCAAACTGGCTGGGAAAAGCATTCTGACCTTTGAACATACACTTCAGATGTTAACCACCTCTGCTCTATGAAATCAGTACAGGTATTAGGAGGAAAGGAAGGAGGCAGCCGTCTGGATGGACACCAGCTGCCAAAACCTCCTTTTCACAGGAAGGCCCTCCCTGCCCCAACGTGTTCTTGCATGGTCTTCCAGAGGGTGTGGGAGCTGAAATCAGGATAGGAGAGGAATGTATTCTCCCAGATGGACTGACTGGGCTGTAGTCTACAAGAGTCGGAAGGGCTATCTTGCATTTGTGGTGCAGCATTTGACTTGTCCCCAGCTGGCTTCTGATCACCTCGATTAACCTTGCACCTTCCCATAGGAAGGACACTACTCTGCAGTGCCGGGGCCTCTCGCTGACTGCAGACTCTGAGCTTTCCTTTCCGCTTACGTGGACCCACATGTCCTCCTAAGGTTCCCAAACTGCCTCATACAAATCTTTGCCCACTCCCTGACCTGCTGGCCTCCAACTAGGGCCCATCCCAGCTACCCTCATGCAGTTTCCCACCCTGGAACAAGGTTGGTGTCCCAGGGAACCGTGAGGGGGATTCAGCAGAGATGGAGAAGCAGTTCCGCCCCCTCCCGCCCTAGACAACATCAACCCACCTTGACAGAGATGTGGCCGTGGGCCTGGGGAAGGTGGGCAGCCAGGAACCAGTCCCCAGGTAAGGGGCTGCTGACGTTAAAGATGCCTGATGTGCGGTTGGGCAGTGTCCAGCTGAGGGTCAGTGAGAAAACCCCAGGCACAGCCGTGTCCCCTGGGAAGTGTGTGTGCAGGGGATTGATGACGGGGGGTGCCCCGGACCGGAAATACCTGGGGACCGGAATGAGGAGAGGAGGAAAGCAGACAATGAGGTGGGAGATGAGAAATGGGGAAAAGAAAGGAGAACAGTCACTTATCACCAGCAAATAAGTAGATTGCCTATACTGATACATACAACAAAGTAGATCCAGGTCAGGGGTCGGCACAGAGGGGGTAAAAGGTCAGCTCAGGCACTGACACAGTCACACTTTGGTCTCGAAGAAAACATGAAACAGAGGTCTTGGCCCTTAGTCATACTGCAAACTCAACAAGGGTCAGGGGTCAGGGGTCAGGGTCAAGAGATCAGTTTAGATACTCATAAAGTAACACTTTAGTTTGGAAAGCGGTCAGGGGTTAGAAGTGAGGGTCAGGAGGTTGGCTCAGACACTCACACAGTCACACTTTGGTCTGGGCAATGGTCCCCGAAGGACCCCCCCTGCTCCTTGAAGATGATGAGGTTCCAAACAGCCAGGAATGTGTCCTCAGGAACATGGAAGTGGAAGAGTTCGGTGCTGGCAAAGGAGCGGAAAGGACTCAGCTTGCGAGGTGAGCAGGTGGAGTAATCGGTCAGGAAGAGGCCTCCTGGGGAGCAGGCAAGAAAGAAAGGGGCAGGTAGGACAGAGGGCATTTCCATTAAGCAGCAGGCACACCAGTCTTCCTCACCAACAGCACCAACTCAACCAATGTTCTGCTCTGAGACAGGAGCTGGGTCTCATGCTGCCCTAACCATCATCTGCTTTACTCTTTACAATGACCTTGAAAAAATGACCTGTTTTTATAGATAAGGGAACTGAGGCTTAAACCTACATCTGTATACGTCCAAAACCAGGGCCCTTTATATGACCCCACAGCTCCCCTCACTTAGGAGTCATTGTTCTGCTGTTACCCAGCCTAACAAAACAGAGGTGTGGACAGCGAGCATGCGAGTGTGTGTGTTGGCACGGCTCTTAGGCCACTGAGCTGGCTGGAACTCCACCTGTGGGGCTTGGGAGTCAGCATGAAACTGTGTAACTTCCTTGTTTATTTTCTTCCCCGTTCAGTTCCCCTGTGGTCAGGAGCAGTAAAAACCCTCAGAAGCTTCACAAGAGCTGTCTGTGTACCCGCTCAGGGCAGGACGGGGGAAGGGGGAAGTGTGGTGAGTCTGCGAGGGGCCTGCTTGGGTGGCGGAGGCAAGGACAGGAGCTGGCAGGCCACCACCAAAGCCCCTGGGAGAGGAGGAAAGGGAGTCGCCAAGCCCTCTAGGGCTCAGAATAAGCAGCCAGAGGGGCTTCCCAGAGGGAGCCCCAGGGAGGCAGTAACTGGTGACCTAGTGGAATCTCAAACCTCTTGGGAATACTCACATGCAGGGCAGGAGGAGGGGGGAGGGTCATCTCTAAATGAAATGCTAAGATACCTGATCGTGGCTGTTAGGAGCAAAGCCAAGGTGAATAGGAAAGTCTGGTGTCAGCAGCCAGGACTGCTCTAATAGTGAAAATAACCCAGTAGCTCAGCTGGATAGCACAGTCCCAAATGGCAGGCAAAGTTCTGGGGAATCTGACAGCCTGGAGACAAGTCCAGTCCCAGAGAAGGCCAGACGATGCCTCTAAGACAGGTGAGAAGGTTAGGAAATCACAGCTTCAGGGACAGGGTGGGGGTGGGGCGCCTGAAGCAGTTTTCAGCCAAATAGGAAATACCCACAGGGCTTACCTAGTCTGACAGTCTCCCTCTCTGGAAATGGGAGATTTAACTCCAAAAATGAGGTGTTTGCAGTAACAGAGAAAGAGGCATCTGGGGAAAGGAGGTGGCTGAAGGAGGCACCCTGGTTAAGATTAGCCCCACTGAGTGCAGCAACTTCCAGAGTCACCCTGCAGAGGAGTGGAGGCCATGGTTACACTCAAGGACTAGTCTGCCCAGTTCAGACCACTTGATCAGTCTCTACTGCCAGCGAGGAAGACGTGCCACCTTGCAAGCTGAGCGCTGCCCAGGAACCAGAGGCTCACCGAGCCGCACTGAGAGAGCAGTGGCACTGAATCTAAGAGGGATGAAGGGAAATGAGCTATGGGGAAGATATGTTTCCTAGTGTCCTGGCTTTGACAGCGGGAAGGCAAAAAGCCAAGAACTGAATAGCCTAATCTCCTGTCACAAGAAAGCAGAGCTCTGGAGCGCCCTCTGCTGGGGGCAGGGAGGCTTCTCCTCCCCAAACCTGGTACCGTGAAACGAGCCACTGCTATTCTTAGGAAGAAATCTTGGCCAGGCCCCAGAGCAGACCCTCTGAGAGCTGCTCATGAAAAACAGCTAATGATCCTGGGGAAACAAGAGACAAACGAGCACACAGAGCCCCAGTGATTCCAACGAACATGGCACGTCCCCGTTCACTCCGAGCTTTGCTCTGGGGTTGCTTTCATCCAGGCCCACAGAGCTGGGTCCCACAGGAAGCATGAGTAAGGTCCCAGGCCAGCTCAGGTGAATCCGGATGGCCCAGTACTTCCCAATGGAGCTCCGAGGATTCTCCTCCACCACCTGAAACACACCACACACACACACACACACACACACACACACACACACACAGAGGCTAAGGCTGGCCTGCTAATGACAGCACTAGGTAGGGAAAAAGGGTCACTTTCTGGAATGGCGAGGCCTGTCTGGGTTATGCAAATGCAGTCAGCTGCGCCCAAGGCCCAGGAGCCTCAGGTGGTACCGTCCATTCCTGAAATGAGATTGAAGCCAACAATGAGCATTTATATGGAGACCGACTGTGCTGCTATGGTCCTGTGACACCGGCAGCCCCTCCTCAAGCAAAGTGCATCACGCCCGCTGGGACCCGGTCACAGAGGGCTCCCGCAGGGCCGGCCACGGTGGCCAAGGCGGTGACTGTCAGCAGCACGAAGGGCACCCCTGCCCGCAGCCGGGCCGTGCAGCACTCTTTCCCAACTTCATTACCATTCTCCCCAAACCGCCTAAGCCTGCTTCCGGACAATCGCGCTGAAATCCCTCGTCTCCCCACTTCCTACGGCTCTGTGGCTGTCAGCCAGCCTCCTCCCCGAGGCAGCGCCTGCTTGCCCACTGAGCTCCTGAACAAAGAAGCCATGATGACAAAAATGAAAGCTATGAATTGGGCTCCGCCGGGGGGGGGGGGGGGGGGGGGGGGGGCACACTCCCCCTCACCAAACTGGAAAACTGGCCCGGCTACTACCTTCCTTCAAGGAGTCGGGCTGGGGCAGGTGGATTCCCTGTGTGTGTGTTATAAGAGGCATCCGAACAGGGAACAACCAGCCTGGAAGCTAACACTTCAGAGCTCTGTCTGCAGGAGCAGGTCGAGCTGAAGAGGACATGCGTGGGCCACAACACATACCCTCCCCTCGCACAGGAACATAAGACACACAGGCTCGCCTGCACCCCATGCAACATACATGTGCCTTCCCTCACCATCGCACAATCATATACATGCACACAATCATGTGCACACACAGCATTCCCACAGATCCCTCAGGTACACACTCAGACGTGTAAGCGTCCAGACACCAGTGAGCTTGGGGCAGTGACCTTTGGCATGCATCCATCTCCTCAAGTCTGTACGTTGAACCAGGTCCCCAGAGCTCACTGAAACCCAGCCCCCAGCCCCAGCTACTTTGTTAGTGATCCGTGCCAAAGACTCTCTCGGGCACATCTCCATCCTATCTAGAGGGCTCCCTCCACCCCCAAGGTAGCTGAGGTTTGGGGCATGAAGACCATAGTCATCTCCTTAGGATGGGACCATCTTTATGGCACAACCCCTCTGACCAGGACCCCTCTCCTCCTCCCACACCCCACCTGTTAAGAAGTTGGATCTGTCTTATCCAAATCACCTTCTGGCTGGATGGGAGCCCTAGGCTGACAACTGGCCAATGAGGAAGAGTTTGTGATGAAGGACAGACTGTGCTTTGAGCCTTTCCCCACTTGGGTTTGTTTTCCTATTAGGCACAGATTGCAGTGGGGAAAAAAAAAAAAAAACTAGTGTGTGGTAGTAATTAGGAAACTTTTTTCTAGCCCTAATACTGCCATTTACGAGCCGTATGACCTGGAGCAAATTGCTCCCCCGCTGAGCCTCAGTTTCCCCATCTGTAAAATGGCCTTGAGTTTCAACCCTGCTCTAAAAGTGTAAGAAATTGCCCAACCGGTTTGGCTTAGTGGATAGAGCATCGGCCTGTGGGCCAAAGGGTCCTGGGTTCAATTCCAGACAAGGGGGCACGTACCTTGGTTGCAGGCTCCTCCCCGGCCCAGGCCTTGGTGGGGGGAAGGGGAGGGGTGTGCAGGAGGCAACCAATTGATGTGTTTCTCGCACACTGTAGTTTCTCTCTGTCTTTCCCTCTCTCTTCCACACTCTCTAAAAGATCAATGGAAAAATATCCTCAGGTGAGGATTAATAAAAACAAAAAAGTATCAGGAATTATTCCTAGGCAAATCAAGCTTATTTGGAACAGAACTCATTACAAGAAGAAAACTCGTTATAATGACAACGAACCCGTGTCCACCTGTTTGCTACGTGTTATAATACTTTTCAAAAGTGCTCTTTTAACCCTGTTTTCATGCCTACTATCTCAAAGGTTTAGGCTAACTCTTCCCGACACTGGACTAGAGGCTGTCTGGTGTGGGAATAGGTCTCTCCCACCAAACTTGATGAGCAGGAGCAAGACTTCCTTGGAAAAGCCAAGTGTCACCCTGGGAATGGAACCTTGGTGTCTGTCCTAGGACCTGCTGAGCCTCAAGTCCACCGTAGCTACCACCTCTCTTCTGACCCTCCCCACTCCCCTCAGATGTGTAAAGAATTCTCTCCTCCCTAATTCTCCCCACTTCTTCCCCAATGATCTAGTCAACAAGGCCCCAATTCTCCCGAACCGCCCCCCCCCCCCAGGCCGCCCCTCCCTGCCAGAACCCCATCCCTGCCTCGGTCCTCGCTGCTTCTGCACTCACCAGCCCCTGGGCCAAGGACAGAAAACAGCAACAGCAGCAACAGGGCTGGTGGCAGCTGGAGCCCGGACCTGAGCTGGGGCTGGGAGCGGGGCCGGGGGTGAGGGAGAGGGGTAGGTGGTGGGAGAGAGGTGGGTACACACAGAGAAGCGGGCAAAGGCTGAGAGAATGGGCTGGGCCGGGCTGGGCACGGGAGCTTGAAAGGGGGCAGCGGGTGGGATAGAAGGAGACACTGTGATGGGGACTGGAGTAATAAGGGCAGGGTTTGGGCCCTGGGCTTAAGCAAACACTGGGGCTGGGATTGGGACCGGGGTGGGGCTGGCATTGGTGACAGGAGCTGGAACCAGGGCAGAGGAGGGGATGGGGGCCCGGCCAGGGCCTGGGTCCGAGGCTGGAGGGGGGGCCTAGGATGGGACTTGGATCTGGGCATTCGCTGGTGTCCGGGCGGGGACTGGCACCTATTTGGGAAGCGGGCCGGGGAAGGGGCCGGGGCAGGGGGCCTGGGCCCGGGGCGGGATGCTGAGACCTGGGGCCGGGACCGGGGCTGGACCGGGGCTGGGCCGGGGCCCGGGGCGGGGGCGGGGGCGGGGGCGGGGCCGGCCGGCGGGCGCGGCGTTCGCAGAGCTGACCCGCCGCTCCGCTCCCCACCCCCGGGGGCGGCCTCGGCGTCCTCGCGGGCCCGGGGCGGGCAGCCGGGGACCGGGCAGGAGGGGAGGCCTGGGCGACTCCGGGCGGCGCGGAGCCGGCGATCAGCAGGCCCCGCGGCGGCCGCGGGCTGACGTGATGGCGCCCCGCCCCTCTGTCGGCGCGATTGGTCCCGGCTGGGCTCCGAGGACAGACTCCGCCCAGCCCAGCCTCCGGTCCCCGCCGCCCGGACCCCGGACCCCGGCCCTCAGGATCCTCGCAGACCCCACGGGCCGCCCCACAGACAGCTCATCGGAACCCCGCAGAGACCCTCCCAACCCCGGACGCGCACGATGTCCCCACGGAGGTCCGCCAAGCCTACCCGGAGCCTCTCCGGGGAGCCCGCCGGCCCCGCCGGGCGCGGTGCTGCCAGCCCTCCGGGGAGAGAGACCTCGCCCCCCGGAGACCAGGCTGCTGCTGACGCCCACTGTGAGGGTTCCATTGCCCCGGCGACGGACCCCTTCTCCTCCGGCCTGGGTTCCAGAGGCTTCAATCAAGGCTCCCGGCCCGCCCTGGTTCCCCTCGTCCCTCCCCCTCCCACCCTTCCCCACATCTGGCCGCGCTCCTTTGGCGATCGCTGCAGGCGCTCACCTCTCCGGGCAGCACAGGCGCCCTGCAGCCGGGATCCATCCACAACCAAGAGCCTTCCCTCTCTCGGGGCTCACACGTCCCACGCCCAGCTCCAGGCAAGAGCCTGACCCAAGGACTTGTAAAAGCCAAGCCAAAGCCCAAAAGTATGTAGTCTCCAATGTCCACCTCTAAACCTTCAGCCCGTTTCCTTCCTAGCACCTCTGTCCCTTCCCACCTCAGTGCAACCCACTCCCATTCTCTGCTTGTCATCCTTACCTTCTTCTCCCCCTTCCTCTCTCTCTTCCCATCCCCTGGTTCTCCACCCAGCCCCCAGCCCCTTTTCTTCTTGCCCAAGTCTAGTCGTCTTACTCCCCACCATCCTACCTTTCCCCTGCTTCCTGTCCCAAACTTGCCCTTTGGAAAGGCCTTTGATGAGTTTAAGGGATATATTTAGTATCTCAGGAGCATGGGGGGGAGGGGCCTGGGGGGGAGGAACAAATGCAGGAAAAGTTAAGGCTGGAATCCTTAGGTACTGTTGCAAATGACAGGCCTTGGCTATCAGGGCCAAGAAAGTTGGACTTAATCCTTAGACTAAGTCAATAAGTATTTTTTTAAATATATTTTTATTGATTTTGGAGAGGAAGGTAGAGAGAGAGGGATATTTTCTCTCAATGATGACAGAGAATCACTGATTGGCTGCCTCCTGCATGCCCTCCACTGGGGATCAAACCCGAAACCCAGGCATGTGCCCTGACCAGGAATTAAATCTTAACTTCCTGGTTCATAGGTTGATGCTCAACCACTGAATCACGTGGGCCAGGCAATGAGTATTTTTAAGCAAGGAAATGCCTAGGTGAGGCTTGTATTTTAGAGAGATCACGATTGGGTCATTAAGGAGTGCTCACTTCTTTTGGATATACTTCTAAGAGAGATCAGGCTGCAGCAGCAGGTGCTACCTGCATAAGCACTAGTGGTACAGCGCTTGGTGCACTGCTACACCCCCCCCCCCCCTCTTGGGTCCCGGAGTGTGAAATGGCGCAGGCCAGGCTGAGGGGCCTCCCACCCCCATGCATAAACCCATACACCGGGCCTCTGAGAAAAGTATTAGTTATCTAAATCAATGGTAGAATGGACCAGTGGATTAATATGCTGGGAAAGGCGACAGAGGGACAAAGTCATCTCTAAGGCCCAGAGGAATACCTAACATAATCCAGGTAGAAAATGATGAGAACTTGAACAAAACTGGAGGGAAAAAGAGAGGAGAGAATGGATTTGAGGTATGTTTAGAAGATAGGAAATACAGTCCCTGATGCCTATGTGAAAATAAGGGCTGAGGGAAAAGGAAAAAAGCTAAGATAATTCCCAGAGCCAAGTGTTATTTTTTTAATCCTAACCCAAGGATATGTTTTTATTATTAAGGATATGTTTGTATTGATTTTAGAGAGAGATGAATGGAGAGAGATAGAAACATCTATCTGCTGCCTCCTGTATGCACCCCAAGTTCCATCCACTTCCCAGACCCCAAGTGGGGATCAAACCTGCAATAGAGTCCATTTTGATGCCCTATGGAACATCCATTTAGCAATGTCCATCAGGCAGTTGGGTATAAGTGTGAAGAACAAGGGTTTTAAAGAGGTCTACACTGGAATTATGGATTTGGGGATTATAAGCAGACAGCTGGCAGTGTGGAAGCCTTGAACATGAATAACATCACCCAGGGAAGGTAGTCAGTAGACAAAACTAGACTGTGGTCAGAGTCCTGCCTTCATGACATCCTACCGCACTCTTGCGAGCACACACCCCCACTTTGGCTTGGTATTCCCAGTCTCTGGAATCCCACAGCCTGATCTCCATGGTCCTAAGGTACGCCTAGGACCCTGCTCTTGGACTGGCCAAGTGACTATGTTCAGGCTCCCTCCTAAGGCATGGTCCTCTGCTACCATCTATGGATAGGATTCTGACTGCCTCCGCCTTTCATTCTTTTAAGCACTAGCTCCCTACAAACCCATCCATGGGGTCTAGGCACCTGTGTGAACCTACCTTGACACAAAAGCTCATCTTGCTTCCCCCATTATATCTCAAGGGCACTAAGATAGATCCTAATTCCATACCTGCCTGTGAACCCTGGTTGGTAGACCCTACCATCCCAGTCTAAAGCCTGTACCATATTCTACCACTAGATGGAAGCAGAAGAGCCTCACCCCACCATGGATGCAGAGGAGCACCCTTCTTCAAAAGACCGGCCTGCTGAGGACTCAGAGGAGCCCCCTATCCCTGACATCCCCTTGGAGCTTGCCATCGCTGAGCCTCCTTTAGAACCCCACACCTCTGAGTCTCAGATACTGTCCTCCACCTCCCAGACTGAGCTAGAGACCCACACCTCTGACACCCCCATGGGGTTCTCCATCTCCAAGCCTCCTCCGTTACAGCCCCACTCCTCCGAGTCTCAGGTGATGTCACCCACTTCCCAGGCCGAGCTAGAGACCCCCACCTCTGAAAACTCTCTGGAATCTTCCACCTCTGAGCCTCAGGTAGTGCCCTCCACTTCCCAGACCCCTTTAGTGACCCACACCTCTGAAAACCCTATGGAGCCTTCCACCTCCAAGGCCTCTGTAGAACACGCTAGCTCTAAGGTCCCAGAGGAACCCTCTGCTTTGCAAACCCCCTCACCAGATCAGGTCTCTGATGCTCTGAAGAAAGGCCTGTCCTCTGAGCCAGGAAGATCCGCACAAATCCGTGAATCTGAGATGCTTCCAGAGCACTCCCTTGTAGGCCCTTCAGCCAAGGTCCACCTGGACACAGTTGAAAAGGAAAGGGAAGAGGAAGGAGAGGACAAGGAGGGGGAGGATGCCACTGTCAGCACCACTCACACACCTCAGCCTGGACGTCATCTGGGCAAGAAGAAGGAGAAGAAAGGAGTCAGCCGTAATTGCTCCGCCCTTTTCCCCATTCTCATCGCTGTCTTTCACCCCCGCCCCAGGAGAAGGAGATTGGGTTTGGGGGCCCCTCACTTCTCCTTGATTACTCACCCCCTTTCTTCCCAGGTGACACGGCCAATCCAGTGATCACTGTTAAGCAGGCAGATCAAGTAGGAGTGCCTAAGACAATGCACAAAGAGAAGTCCGATGCTCAGGCGTACAATCTTTTCCAATGGGAGAAGGATGCAGCTCTGAAGGCCACCCAGACAGGTGAGCCCAGGCGGCCTCTCAGAGGCTTGTGACAGGCCCAGGATCCTCCTCCAACCCACCCGTTTCTGGGAACTTGGCCCATTTGGTGGAGAGCTGCACCTTGTGTAAATGGCAATGCCACCTGCCTGAAATCAGGGAGGGAAGCAGGCAGGTGGGCCAAGGTGGATAGTGTAGTTGCAGATGAAGAGTGAATAATCATATAAAGCCCAGGTGGGGTCAGGGCACTGAACTAAAGTTGTTAAAAACAGAAGGGTCACAGACCAGCCCCACATTTAGGGCTCAGATCACCTGCAGCAAACAGACCCTAAGGAAGAGGGCCTGGACAGTCTCCATGTGACCTGTTGCTTTTACTTGGCAAAAGGCCTTGGTCCCCTTGTTGGAACTCCATTAAAAGGTAGTCACTCCTGACTATGAGACCCATGATCACTTGAGTACCCAAAAGCTGTGAGTCTCCACCAAAGAGCAGGAGTCACATCTAACCCTTTGGGTCCAAGTCTCAGCCCAGAATTAGTACTTTTTTTTTTTAATATATATATTTTATTGATTTTTTACAGAGAGGAAGAGAGTGATAGAGAGTCAGAAACATCGATGAGAGAGAGTCATCAATCAGTCGCCTCTTGCACACCCCCTATGGGGATGTGCCGGCAACCAAGGTACATGCCCTTGACCGGAATCGAACCTGGGACCCTTCAGTCCGCAGGCCGACGCTCTATCCACTGAGCCAAACCGGTTTTGGCCGGAATTAGTACTTTTGACAGTCCTGTTAGTAGCATGCTATGCTTATCTATGTCTACATACTAGTATAAAGGGTGCAAACACATGCCATCCTGTGTGTGAGCACGTGTACCGATGCTACTGAGCTTTATATCTATAAGGGTTACCTTTAGTAAGAGGGTTACCCTGACCTGCTATGAGGATTTTGGGGTTTCTGGACTGAATTCAATGTGTCACTGCATTTATTTTGTTTTTTCATACTTACTCTTTTTAAAATATATTTTATTGACTTTTTATAGAGAGGAAGGGGGAGGGAGAGTTAGAAACATCAATGAGAGAGAAACATCAATCAGCTGCCTCCTGCACACCCTCTACTGGGGATGTGCCCGCAACCAAGGTATAATACATGCCCTTCATCGAAATCGAACCTGGGACCCTTGAGTCCGAAGCCCAATGCTCTATCCACTGAGCCAAATCAGTTAGGGCCATACTTCTTCTTTTTAATGGGAGTAGAGTTATGTCAAAACTAGATGAGCCTAAGATATAAAGACAACTGGGTAATTCTATGCCCTATCCTTTTCCCATGCAACTTACTTTCCTCAGTCCCTATGCCGGGACCTCCCACCTCCACTTCTGGAAAAGGAAGTCATAGTGATCTCAATAGTTTCTCAGTCTTACTTCAGTCATTGAACAGCTTTGTTTGCTTATTTTAGCATCCTATGTCACTTTTATTCTTTTTTTGCAAATGTAGGGTCTGTTCAGTACCCTCATTCTCCTTAAAACCTCCTGTCTACTCCCCACTCTTCAAGGCTTCTTGAGATTGGACTTCCTTTTCTTGTTTAAACAGGAATTTTTATACTAAAATTTAAGTGTCATGCAATCCTGAACAAAGCTATTTGGGGTTCTCTTCTGACACTGGGGATCTTCTGTCCCTCGAGAGTCAATATATGTGCTCTGTAGTGAAATATCAAGTGTAAGCTTTTCCCTTATTCATTCAACATTTGAGCACCGGCAATGTACGAGGCTCATTGCTAGCTGGAGAGGTGGTGGCACTGATGGAGTTTCCAAGAAAAGATCCCTCAAGTAACTTACACTTTAATGAGAGACACTAATAAGTAAAAGGACAAAAGCAATAATTTAGTTCAGCCCAGAGTGCTGCATGAACAGAGAAAAGGGGCTGGCACCAATTACAGGAAGCTTGGGGAGTAAGCCTTGGAAGGGATGACTTCTCAGCTGAAATCTGTAAGATGAGTAACAAGAGGCAGCCAGGTAAAAAGTGAAATATGCTGGGACATGGCAGCACCAGGCACCAGCAAGAAACTGTAAGCAATGCAGTATGCCTGCTGCATATAGTATTGGGCACAGTAGCCTGGTCAGCTCTGGAAGGGCAGGATTGTGCAGGTATTTCTGTACCAAATTCAAGAGCTGGGATTACATCCTGAGGGCAACTAAAGTCACTAAAAGATTGTAAATGGAGCCGAAATCGGTTTGGCTCAGTGGATAGAGCGTTGGCCTGCGGACTGAAAGGTCCTGGGTTTGATTCCAGTCAAGGGCATGTACCTTGGTTGCAGGCACATCCCCAGTAGGGGGTGTGCAAGAGGCAGTTGACTGATGATTCTCTCTCATCAATGTTTCTAACTCTTTATCCCTCTCTCTTCCTCTCTGTAAAAAAATTAATAAAATATATTTTAAAAATAGCCGAAACTGGTTTGGTTCAATGGTAGAGCGTCGGTCTGCGGACTGAAAGGTCCTGGGTTTGATTCTGGTCAAGGGCATGTACATTGGTTGTGGGCACATCCCCAGTAGGGGGTGTGCAAGAGGCAGCTGGTCAATGTTTCTCTCTCATCGACGTTTCTAGCTTTCTGTCTCTCTCCCTTCCTCCTCTCTGTAAAATATCAATTATATATATATATATATATATATATATAATAAAAATAAGTAAAAAAAAAAAAAAAAAAGATTGTAAATGGAACAATAACGAACAGATTTGTGTTTTTGTAAGATCACTCTGGCAGAAGGATAGACTAGAGAACGGTAAGAGCTAGAGATGGGATTGTGGGGCACTGCTAATAATCCAAATAAGAAATGAATGGGTAGAAGTAAAAAGTAGACAAACTCAATAAATGCTAAGAAGATAAAACGAGCCTTTGGATCATTGGATGTGTAGGATAAGAGAAAGGAACATGCCCGGAATGGCATCTAGGTAAGTGGCTTAAATAACTGGTTGGGTAATGGTGTCATTAACTGAATGCCTAGGACAAGAGGAGATGCTTGCTAAGTATGTAATGGATGAACAGGAGACAAAGGGCGAGGGCATGTCTAGAAGGAATAATTATAACACATTTGGAGTGCCTGTGGAACATACTGGGGAAGGCTCTAGTAGATAGCTGGCTATATGGATCTGATGCTCGGGAGAGAGATCTGGGCTGAAGACACCTTTCATTTAAAAACAGCTGTATTGTCAAAACCGGTTTGGCTCAGTGGATAGAGCGTCAGCCTGCGGACTGAAGGGTCCTAGGTTCGATTCCAGTCAAGGGCATGTATCTTGGTTGCGGGCATATCCCGGTAAGGGGTATGCAAGAGGCAGCTGATCGATGACTCTCTCTCTCTCTCATCGATGTTTCTAGCTCTCTATCTCTCTCCCTTCTGTAAAATATCAATAAAATATATTTTTTAAAAATAAAAATAAAAACAGCTCTATCTTGTATGAAGATGTTCTAAGCACCAAGAGATGTTATCAGGCAAATGTGATTATGTGATCATGGAATTGACTGTGTTGTACAGAATCAAAATGGCATCCCAGATCATGTTTCCTCCCCCTGCCAGTCCCCGTCCACTCATAACAGAAAGAGGATTTGGAATCAGGACAGAGAGTAGAGGGCACCATTCTGGAATACTCAGCTAGATGTCAATGGTCTCACTTAAAGGGCACTGACACTTGTAAATAGAGTCTGAGGTGTGGTTTGCCAGTCTCCCTGTTCAAATTTCAATCTTCATCTGAAAGCTGGACACCGACTCCTACATCAGTGCTTGGACTTGACTCTCCCAGGCTCTCAGGCCAGGCCTTGATCTCTGGGCACTGACCCCCTGTTCATTTCCACATCTCACCTGCTCATTCAGTGTGTCCTGCTACTCGGGATGACACTCAGAATTCCTCTAGTAGAATCCTGGCCCCTACCCACCCCCATTGTGACTCTATCTATACTCTGCCCTTTCAACCAAGACTCCCTGGTGCATTGGGGAACTGGCACTCCAGGCCATCAACATCAAGGCAGAAGCAGCGGAGCCAAAAGTCACATCTGGACAGGCTTTTGACCTTGGGAGATCACGGGTAATACAAAGAAAACCTAGTCTGACCATTAGGCACAGAACTGTGGATTATGGCCTTGGCCAGAGTCAAAGACCAGAGGACACTAATTCTTTCTCGTCCTCTTTATAGAACTTCATGGTTCTTCCTGGCATACTGAAGAAATTATCTCCCCTCCTGAAGGAATTTGTTCACTCATTTATTTAGTCAAACAGTCTGTTCTCCAAGCACCTATTATGTGTCATGCCCTGCGCTAGGACTAGATATAGATGAAAAGACAGACCCTTCCTTGGAGGAACGCACAGTCTAACAGTGAACAGTTCAATAAGATGCATTGTACTGTGGTAAGAGTAGCACAGGGAGCCATGGAAGGCAAGAGAAGGGCTCCTAGAAAAGAGGAAGTCAGCCAGGACCGGTTTGGCTCAGTGGATAGAGCGTCAGCCTGCGGACTGAAAGGTCCCGGGTTCGATTCCGGTCAAGGGCATGTACCTTGGTTGCGGGCACATCCCCAGTAGGGGGTGTACAAGAGGCAGCTGATCGATGATTCTCTCTCATCGATGTTTCTAACTCTCTGTCCCTCTCAATTCCTCTCTGTGTAAAATCAATAAAATATATTAAAAAAAAAAAAAAAGAAAAGGGGAAGTCAGGGACACTTTTTGGTGGAGGTGACACTTCATTACCAGCCTTTACCTCGGAATAAGAGTCCTACAGCTGAAGGACTCCATGGGGACTCATACAGGATTCCTGGCTAGAAGCTGGGGTGCTCTCAGGTCTCGTGAGGATGAGAAAATCTGAGTGGGAGGTGCTCTCTGCTTCTCCTCCCACATTTACCACCACCCTTGTCTTGCAGTGAGATTGAGAGTGAACCCGGACATTTCCAGATCCCACTACTAAAACCAAAGGGTTGGGGCATCTTCCTGGTGTCTGAGCTCCGGGATACTTCTTAGCCTCTCTTTCCTCTCCATGCCTCCTTCATTCAGCCTCAAAAGCTCCTATTTTTCGGTCTTCATTTCTGGCCTCCCTCTTTCTTCTGAAGCCATCCTTCTGACCCCAGGCCTGCTCAACCGCCTCCTCCTCCTCTTCACGTCCCTTCAACAACATAGCCCCTCCTTAGTAACCAATCTCTCTCCACCCCCCATCTGCTCTACACCTGCTCAATCATCTTCTCTCTCCCTCACCTTACATACGTCAAGGAAGCCAAAGTTGGGCTCTACTATAGGGAGGGGAGGAGATGAGAATCCTAACAGTTTCAGAGAACTCATTGAGAGTCAGATTCACCTTAAAAAAAAATTCATTTATATTCTTCCTACTCAGAAACTAAAGACAGTTCAGTCATCTCTGACAGGCTGACAGAGATGGAGTGGATCCTGGGATGGGAAGGGCACTGAAACATTTATGGGTGATAAGAAAACCTTGAGGGGAAAAAATCTAAATGGGTATGAGGACTCATAGGGAGGGATAAATACACCTGGGGGGAGAGGTGGGGCACACCCTTAGGGGATAGGTGAGAACACCTGGGGGACTGTAGGCCATTTTTCCTTCTTATTCATCCTATTACTCAATCCCACCATTCCCAGGTCTCTACATCGGTTGGCGTTGCCCCCACTATCTATGGGACTGCTTCCGAATTGGGGATGAATCCAAGTGCTTTTGTGGCCACTTGCTGAGAGAGCACCGGATCGTATCAGGTAGGGAGAACTGAGTTACCCCTCCCAGCCCTTGCAGGTGAGGAGGGATAACTGTACTGCCATGTGTTGGAATAGATGAGAGAAAGTGTGTGTGTTGGTATGGGAGAGGGCGTTGGCGTGGAAAGGCCAGGCCAATCAGGTGCTGGTCTAACCCTACCACCCATCCCCATTCCCGTAGACATATCCGTGCCTTGCAAGGTGAGTCAGTGCCGATGCCTCATGTTCTGCTTTATACCATCACGCCCAGAGGAGGTGGGTGAGTTCTGGCTCCAGAGGCGGGCCACCTTTGATCCCAAGACCTGGAGAGCCCAATGCCGCTGCAAACACAGCCATGAAAACCATTCGGCTACCGGGTGCCATCCCTGCAGGGTCAAAGGTACCTTCTAAAACAAAGGGAGTGCAGAGGTGGGCATGGGTGGGGATAGGATGCGTATAGTTTGGGAATAGTATATGGGAATTGGTAGGAGAGACAGGCTAATGGTTGGTGAGAAAGAGATGGAAATGTAGTCAGCCCACGGGGAAGCTCCATCTCCCTGTGCTTTTCTTGGCTGTCCCTTTGCCCTAGGCTGCTGCTGCAACTGCTTTGAGTCTAATTTCCTCTGCGCAGCCTGTGACCGGCGTTGGGAGGAACACGGGACTTTCTTTGAGACTGAGGAGACCCGGCGACGAGGAGGGAGACCTCGTGGTGAGGGGGTTACCCGGAACAGGGGTCCATTCCAGAGTCTGTAGTCAGAAAGCCAGGCAGAAAGGGACTCCCATCCTCAACCATCCCACCCAAGACTACCTCCCCCTGTTTACCCCTGCTCCCATACCTGCATTGGTTTCCACCCCCAGGAGCAGACTATGTGCCTTTTGCAGAGATTACTACCCTCCGAGAAACCATCACCGGCAACTCTGACTTCGAGATCCTACAGAGGCAGGGTCCTTCTGGCCAACCCAGCTCCCACCCGAGTCCCCCTGGGCTCCCTGTCTCACCCAGCCTCCGACCTGGCCCTACAGCTCACCCCCGTACCTGACCCTTTCACCTCTGCTCTTCCCTCCTCCAGGGACAGACACTGCCAACAGCGGGCACAGGCCTGGGTGAGCCCGGCCCAAATCAGCAATAAAGGAGAAGCCACTGGACTCTGACCTGGCTCTGTCTGAGGCAGCGAGAGCCCCGCCCAGAGATAGATATTCAGAGTCAGTTACCTATTGGGGGCAAAAGAGAGGCTAGATGCAGCCATCTGCCTTCACCACACCCACATTTAGCCTGCTAGTCCTGGCATCAGAAGGAGAGAGAGGCTTCAAAGAAGCGAAGGAGGGAGGGGGTTTGAAGAAGGATGGAGTAAGCAGTGGTGTTAGATGCAGCTCTGATCTCCAGTAAGATAAAAACTAAAAAATGTCCATTGGCTTTTGCAATGAGAAGGTCTTTGGGGACGTCAGAGAGCATAATGTCAGTGGTACAGTGGAGGCAGAAGGAGTTGAAGAAACTTGAATGAAAAGAGCAAGAGACAAGTCAAACAATATCCAGAGGGAGAGATGTGGAGTTTAGGAGGCATTTTTTAAGAAGGAGAAAGAAAAGAGGCTAGTAGATAAAAAAAAAAAAAAAAAAAAGACCTTGAAGGATGCAGAAGAGAGAGATGCCTGGTGAGACAGGAGCCCAGAGATGGAGGGAAGGGGTGAGGTCAGGGCAGAAGTGAAGGGATTCACTTTGGACAGGAGAAACACCAATTCCTAAGACCAAGAGGAAGGAAGGAAGGAAGGAAGGAAGGAAGGAAGGAAGGAAGGAAGGAAGGAAGGAAGGAAGGGAGGGAGGGAGGGAGGGAGGGAGGGAGGGAGGGAGGGAGGGAGGGAGGGAGGGAGGGAGGATGGATAAGGCCTTCCCTGAGCTGCAGGTAGCAGGATTTGTGAATGTTCTCCTGTGGAATAGGAGACAAAGTCAGTTTCAGGGGGGTGGGGGGGGAGGAAGGGATAAGAGTAGAAGATAGGAGACAGGAAGAGAGAGGTAAAGGTTTGGGAAGACTAATAATGTGAGGAGCTGGAGAAAAACCTGATCAGTGGCTGGTTAAGGGTTAAGGTACAATTGGAAGCAGGAACCTGGTTAGAAAAGCAGAGATGCAAAATATTTAGATGAATGAGTTGTGATGAGGATGTCGGGAGGATACTAATAATAATTAGGAACATAAGACAAAAAGAGGATTAAAAATGTGGAGGGAGCTGACCATACAAATAGGGAAAGGGAAACCAGAAAGCCTTTGACAGATTTAAAAAAAAGGAATAATCAAAGGCGTAAAAGACATGATGACCGTTCACTAAAACTAATTAGCAGATGCAGCAGCAGATGCAGTGGTGGGGATCAGAGTGCAGGAAACAGTGGTCAGAGCCTGCAGAGTGGTGCCGCTTTCAGATTAGAGCAGCTGCAAGTGATCACAAGGCTTGGGTTAGAGAAAACCGTGGGCCAGGGGCCCAAACCAGTGCATGTCAAGGAGTGTGACTAGAACGCCCATAGAATTTTGGCACAGATGATTCTTATGGGGAGCAGGAGATTCTGATAATCATGGACTCTGTGGTCCTAGACAAGTCACTTTCCCCATCTGGGCCTCAGTTTCTGGATCTGTAAAACAGGAATAATCTCTGTGCTACCTGCTATGAGAGTCCAAAGAAATAACCAGTTTCCAAGTACCTTGCACTCGCCTACCCCTCCTGGCTGATTTCCTTCCTCTTCTCAGATCCCAGTTCCTCTCTCTTGCCCTTCTCCAGAGCAGCGTTAGGGGCTGCTGCTATCCCAGAGGCATGTCAACAATAAATAGCTTGCTGCCACCAATTCAACGCCATAAGGCACATGTGTCAAACACAAGGCCCGCGGGCCAAATCCGTCCCACCAGGCCTTGCAATGTGGCCCGCACCGCGCTGTCATCACTGCACTCCGCTGCGTTTCCATCACAATGACAGTTTATGACTGTTCAGTAAACCATTCGGCCCGCGATTTAGGCTGGATTTTAGATTTTGGCCCCTTCTCTGATTGAGTTCGACACCCCTACCATAAGGGGTCCTGAATCTGGGGTGCAAAAAAAGGAGAAACTTTATTCAGGTAAACAGTTTGTAAACGAGGGAGCTGCAGTCTGTGACAGAAACAGGGTACAACAGTGCCAAAACAGAGGAGGCTGGATTTTATAAAGGTCCTTCCTGCCCCGTCTCTGTTTGGTCTATTTCCATGCAAATGAGAAATCCAAATTTGCCTGGTCTCACTGGTCCAAATAGCATGGTCCTGATTGGTCAGAAGCACTCATTCTGATAGGTCATTATAGAGTCGCTCAAATTGGTCGGTAAATATGCAAATAAGGATAGAGCTGTGCAGTTCCAATTGGATAAGGTAGGTCTCTGTGTATTGGTTGAAAGGTGATGATAGGAACTCCTTTATAAGGGTGGGCTCAGCTGGCAGGTACACAGTGCAGGAGGCTGGCAGTTCCATCTGTGGGTTTTCCTTGAAATGTAGAGTGGGTATGAGGTACCTCTGAGCAATGGTTCCTGGACTCTGATTATGAATTTGAGCCCAATTAACCGTAAGGAGTCCTTCTGGCAGATAAATTCCTTCTTAGGGTCAACTGTAGCCTCTAAGGCACTGAGAAAAGGCTACCCCTTGGACTGCTAGGACTCGGGGGAAATCACAGGATCAAATGTCTGCACTTTGGAAGAGAAAGGACTTTCTAACGATAATGACATGGCTATGCAAATTGTTACTATCTCCAGAAGTAAAGAGTTCCTCATTAATGCTTAATGATGACCATTCACTAAAACTAATTCAATTAATAGTCAAAAATAAAGGAATGGTTACTATGGTAAACACATTCAACCCAAGTATTATGCAGCCCTAACAAAATATATTTACATAAACTAGGTAATAATATGAAAAATTATAAGTGGGAGAATAAAATAGGCAATACATGTGTATTTTACAATAAAAGGAAATTAGAGGAAACATCAAATGTTATTCATTCTACAAATTATGTGTCAGGCTATGTGCTAAAACATACCTTCACACAAACTAAAAATACAGTGGTGACTTTTATCCTATGTGTTAAACATCAGACTAAAACTTAGCTGGTATTAGTATATTTGCATTTTATGATCCCCACGTTTCTTATGTCAAAAGTATATATTCCAGCAGAAGGAAATGTACTTCAGACCTAGCCATGACACATTTCCCTTGTCCTTCTAATTCTCTAAAAATACCAGGCACAGAGCTAACCCTATCACCCACCTTTTCTAATTAGGAAAGAACATTTGCTTGTTAGTCCTGGGTTCAAAATAGGAAAATAGGACACACACACACACACACACACACACACACAGCTCCTCCCGTTAAATAGAAAAGTGCAGAAACCATCCTTAAAACTTCAAATCTTTCATCTTGGGAGTAAATATGCTAACGAGAACATTCAGGAAGAACTGCCCTTAGATCAGCGATTTTCAACCGGCGTGCCACAATAAGTTTTTAAACCATGTAATACCTGACCATTTAGCCAGGGGCACTGACCTCTCTTCCCGTTGTCAAGTTTAAAAAAAATTAAAAAAATGACAACTGCCAGCCTAACAATAGCTGTCCCGTGTGAATGCGTCAAAATTATACCTGCTCTTTTTGGTCAGGTCACTAAAAACTGTATTTTTGGTGTGCCGCAGAATTTTGGCAACTGGTTTAAGTGTGCCATGAGATGGAAAGGGTTGAAAATCGCTGGCATACCACCTTGCAGGCTTGGAGGGCGGGAAGCAGGCGCGGCCCTCCCTCTCCTCCCAGCTCTGCAGCGGAGCCCGGGCCCGCGAGGCGGAGCCCCGCCCACTGGGGCGTGCCCCCCCGCGCACCGCCGCACTGTGGCGGGGAAGGCCCCGCCTCTTGGCTTCTTTTTCTTCCCAATGGAGGGAGAAACTAGTTAGGAGAGCCAATGGAAAAGGGACGTGCACGCCGAGAGAAGACGGAGCCAATGGAGTAGAAAAAACAGTGAGTTGCAAAGGCGCCGACGGGAAGAAGATCTCGCCACGCCTCTGCGCTAAGTTAAGGAGCGACGTGCAGGGCCGAGAGCGCCACCCAATGGGAGGGCAGGACTCGCTCCTGGGAGCCGGCGGAACCAATCGCCGCCCCCGCTCGCTCCCAGGCGCCCCGCCCCCGGCGGCCGGCCGGCCGGAGGGCAGCCCCGAGTGACAGGTTCCCGAGGGCGAGGGCAAGATGGCGGCGGCAGTGCTGCTGGCCGCGGGGCTGCGCGCGGCGCGCAGGGTGGTCGCGGTCGCGGGACCGCCGCGGGGGCCGCAGGTGAGAAGTGGCTGCGGGGACCAGCAGGGGGCCCTGCGCGCCTGACGGCTCCCGGGGCCGGGCACCGCGTTCCTCCCGGCTCCCCAGACATGCACAGCCCAGCGGCCTCGCGGGGACGTTAGCGCGACGTGCAAGTCCCATGGCTGTGCGGTGAGATCGGGCCGGTAGTCGCAGCATCCCCCCCGGAATCTCAATGCAGGAGAAGCCAGTGACCCACACCCGCATAGCCCCCCTGCACAGTCCCGAGGCTGGGGCAGGGTCCGTGCAGTGGCTGCTGCCTTTCTCCTAAACCCGCCTGAAGCCCAGCTTTCCCCCACCCCTGCCCTGGGCAGCCCCCTCGTGCCCCCTGCAGGAGGGGAGCTTTGGCGTCTCCTGCAGTCTGTCTGCTGCGCCTCAGCCTCCTGGCCTTCTACTGAGGACCAGTGTTAACCTCTTCTCTGCCCCGCTTTGCCAGAGAGCGCGACTGGATGGGGTCAGATTCACCCAGTCCTTTTCTCCCCCAGTGTGACAGCACCGACTTCAGAAGCCTTCCTGAGTTCCTGGGAAACGGGGACTTGCCTCCGCTCTATCCCCTGGGGCCGGGTTCACTTATCTGAACTCTTCCGCTGATTCAGGGCCTGGAGTTCAAATTCACTGTCAAAGGTCAAATGTGATTGACACCTTAGATGCCCTTGTGTCAAAAGGCAAAAAATGTATTAAAATCTGAATAAAACAGGCAACATGGCTTAAAGATCAGAAAATAAGTAATGGAAATACGTGGCAACATTAACAAGGTGAGAGTATATGGGAAAGAATCCCAAGTAGGGTTAAAAGATGGTATAAACAGCTCCCTTTGTTTTACATGTGAAGCCGAGAGAAGGGATTTGTCTAAGGTAAATCACTGGTAAATAGGAACTGGGAACCAAGTCTCCTGGTTTTCATTCTGGATCTTTCCCCCTGAACAGTGCTAAATTTCCTAGGGGCATTTTAGACGCAGAAATCACTGGGACTGCTGCTGAGTCCTGCATTCTGGTACTTCCTGTTATCCTACCACACCCGGCACTCTCTGGCCCTACTCTCTGCTGCTGAGGGTCTGCAACTGAAGAGCTGTGGGAGCCACTAATAGGTTCTCAGAAAGGTGAAGTTAATGACTGTCAGAGCCCAGCTTCTGTGGCCCCCAACTCTCTGCCTCGGTTTTGACCCACCTTCAGGTCCGAGGAGCAGCAGGTGTGAATGATGGAAATGAGGTGGCCAAGGCCCAGCAGGCAGCTCCTAGGGGGAAAGCCCCAACCATCTTCTCTAGGATCCTGGATCGAAGCGTTCCAGCTGACATTCTGTATGAGGACCAGCAGGTGGGGTGCCCCTAGGACCCATCCCATAGGGATCTCATAGATACCATCCAGCCTGTGGAAGTAACACGGTGCCCTCTGGCCTGTCGCTGCTCCCAGTGTCTCGTGTTCCGTGACGTGGCTCCTCAGGCTCCTGTGCACTTCCTGGTCATTCCCAAGAAGCCCATTCCTCGGATTAGCCAGGCTGAAGAAGAAGACCAGCAGGTGGGGAGAACAGGACAAGGGTTTGGCTGGGGGAAGCCCTGGATTCAGCTAGAGGTTTTGCTCCTTGTAAATAAAGCCGCCTGTCTCCCTCCCCTTCCCCTGTAGCTTCTAGGACACCTTCTCCTTGTGGCCAAGAAGACAGCAAAGGCTGAGGGGCTGGGAGATGGATACCGACTTGGTGAGTGGCTTGGCCCTTGAGCCCCTTCACTGGTGAATTCTCATACCTACTCAATACGATCTTCATTCTTTGACCTTTCCCATGATCCTGACTCACTAACCCCAAGCTCCCTTTCAGTGATCAATGATGGGAAGCTGGGAGCACAAACTGTATATCACCTGCACATTCACGTACTCGGGGGCCGACAGCTCCAGTGGCCTCCAGGTTGAACCTACCAACTGACCAAGGACCCTGAGCCTGGATGATTGGATGGGGCAGGAGGAAAGAGACCCTGTGATCCAATAAACTTGCTCTCCCTCAATTTTGCATCTCTGTCTTAAATATATCCATTTTGCCACAAAGAGGAAGGAAATGGTTATGATCCTCCTTGACTATGGTCTGAGTAAGAGACACTAAGGAAGCCCTTCTGTAAATAAGCATTTGCCTATAGGTCTGTGAGTCATGACTAGTGGTCCACCTGAGTCAAGCTTCCAGACAAGTAGCAGTAGCAATAAGCCTGAACGAATAAGAAGAGACTAAGCCTAGCTGGCATAGCTCAGTGATTGAGCGAAAATCTATGAACCAGAGGGTCATGGTTCAGTTCCCCTCCAGGGCACATGCCTGGTTGCAGGCTTGATCCCCTGTAGGGGCGTGCAGAAGGCAGCTGATCAGTGATTCTCTGTCATCATTTCATGCTCCCTCTCCCTGAAATCAATTTTCTTTTTTTAAAAAAAGAGACTGGCTCTCTCCTGGTCTATATCCAGCTGCCAATCCAAGTTATAAGAGGATCTGGGAGGAGGGTGGTCAGTGCGAGGGCCTTTGATTGGGGGTGAAGTAATCACACCCCCAAAAAAGCTGTAACCCTTTGACTAATCCCTGAGTCTCACCATCCTGCCTTTAAGCTGTTGTCTGGTGTATTTTCATCCTTAAATGTTTGAAAAGGCTGCCCCCACTTTTGAGAATGAGCTACGGAAAAGCTGCTGTTATCCCCTACATAGCAGCCCTGTGCCAGTCTCTAACACAACCACCACAGAAAGCTTCAAAAAAGAATCGTGCTTCGGTCAGGAGGGAGAGGCCTTAGGTCAGCGGAACCTTAAAAGCCGGGGATGAGACGGAACGGAGTCCAGACCGAAAGAGAGCTTCCGCCCCGCATCAGATAGAGGACTTCCGCCCCGCAGGAAACTTGCCTCCACCCGCCACCCTCCACTTCCGCCCAGCTATAGTTCTGCGCAGTCTCCTGGAATTATTTGCCATCTCCATGGCAACCAGGGTAGCTGATGTCGGAAAATGAAGACCTTTGATTCTACCGAGGGGTCGGGATCGGGATCGGGATCGGGATCGTTGTCACGGTGAGAGCCGCAGCTCTGGCTGCCGGTTTTAGGGGACGAGGAGAGGCTGCGCACTTCCTCCCTCTGCCGAGCTTTTGACAATTTTGGCGCATTGGTTTCTTTCAGATCTTTACCCGTACAACCCAGCTCCGAAGCGTCCTCTTCGGAAGTCACTTCTAGGTCGGCCCTGGCAGCCGCAAGGGCAGCAGCGTCAGCCGCTGCTGCAGCTACTGCAGCCGTCTCCACTGCCAAAGCAGCTGCATTGTCTGCAAAGACCCAAGCGCCCTATTCTGAGCGAAGCTTTCCCTCGGGTCCCTCCTCTGATAGTCTTGTGAACCCCTGCCCAGGACACAGTTTTACCCACAAGATAGGCCATAGGAGACTTGGCTTTAAGCCTGTTTCCTATATTGTTCGGCATCCCTGTCCTACAAATTACCCTAACACTAGCACAGTTCCTGGCTCTAGCCCTGACCCCGTTCCTGGCTCTAGATCTGGCCACTTTCCTGGCTCCAGATTGAGCCCCGTTCCTGGCTCTAGCCCTGAACCCGTTCCTGGCTCCATATCTGGCCACTTCCCTGGCTCCAGATCTGGCCACTTCCCTGGCTCCAGATCTGGCCACTTCCCTGGCTCCAGATCGAGCCCTGTTCCTGGCTCCAGACCGAGCCCCGTTCCTGGCTCCAGATCGAACCCCGTTCCTGGCTCCAGATCGGGCCCCGTTTCTGGCTCCCAATCTGGCCATGGCCCTGACCCTGGCCATGGCTATGGTTCTAGTAAAGCCACTGGCCTGGATTCTCGCTCTGGTTATGTCTATGCCTCTGGGCCTGCTCCAGACAATGATCCTGAGCTCAGCCCCAGCACTCTTACAAGCTTCAGAGATCCTGGGGCAAACCTGGTCCCTAATCATGCCTCCTGGAATCACTACCAATGCTGGGAGCCTCGGAAACAACCCTGGAAATTTTTGCCAGTTTCAGAACCTGTTGCCCAAAGGCAGCTATGGAAGGCCCCTGAGGCTGAAGTGAAGTGTGAGCCTCTCAGTAAAACACTGCCACGGGGCCAGTGCCTTCTCTACAACTGGGAGGAAGAGGTATTAAGGTTTTGACCTACTCCCTTTTCTTAAAGGCTCCCCCCCCCCCCCCGTTTTCTGAGGGAAGATAGTAGTGTATGATGAGAGTGGGTAACAGAAAGGATACCATAATCACTCAACTTGGGGCCCACAGAGAGCTACCAATCATCTGGATCAAGTACCAAGCATGCAGGATGGCTCCGAGAGTTTCTATTTCCGACATGGACACCAGGGACTGATAACCCTGCAGCTCCAGTCACCCGTACCCCTCAGCACCACCCAGAAAGACTCATTTCAGCCCCCAAGAATCCGCTGTCAGCCAATTCGAGGTGTGAAGCATGAGGGAATGGGTCAGAATGAGTCCACTAGTCAGAGAACAAGAGAGAGAAAGGAATTTCTGGTGGGACTATAGATTGTCCAATGGGTATTCGGGTAACCCCCACAATTTTCCTTCCTTTTCTCAACTTTGTTTATTCTGGGCCTGCTTTCTTAACCAGACTTGTCAGCTCTGTCCACTCCCTGCCCCCACCCTCCACCCCCACAGGAAAACGTGAAGCCATGCTGGAGATACTCCTGTGCCACCAGATCTGGTGAGAGGCTGGATGAAGGGGGAAGGGGAGGGGGAGGACAAAAACCAGGGAAGAACGGCTTTGATGCCCCCATAACTGTATAGTAAAGAGGTGCAGGCAGAGCAAGAACTGACAAGGGAGCCATCTGAGGCCGAGTCTGTGACACACCATGACTACAAAGCGGAGCTGGTGCAGGCAGGGGATCCTGCTCCAGCTAAGGTAAGAGCCCATTCCACTCCACGTGTACAGCTGAGCCCTGGGGGGCTGGAGGGGGAGCAGCAGACCCAGAGGTTTGGAAAGGGAGCTTCAGGCCAAGAGTTATTCCGTATGTTCCCCTCACAGCCTCACGACTACTGTACGGAACAACCTGAAACTTTCTGGATACAGAAGGCACCACAGCTACCGGTGTGTGAGGGTGACTAGATGTGGGGGTGGGGAAGAAGGAAGGGAAGAGGCCGTTCTGTTCTGCCTTGGCAGAGAGTAGGATCTGCCCTCATTCTGGCATTCCTGTAGGGTGTCAGTAACATCAGGACCCTGGACACGCCATTCCGGAAGAACTGCAGCTTCTCAACACCAGTGCCTTTGTCCCTGGAAGAGCCTTTTCCCAATGGACCTGAGAATTATTCTTACCAATTAGGACAAATCTCTTCTCTTGGCTGTCAGGGAAGAGGGCAGGGTGGTGAGGGGCGTAGATGTGTCTAAGGGTTGAGGAGGGAAGTGAGATGTGGAATATGGAATCTATTTCTGTCTGTACTGGAAAGGTGTTTATACTTGGTGAAGGGGCTTTACATAAAGGGTTCTTTCTCATCCTGAGTCAGTGATTCCCTGAGTTTCCATCTTCATACCCCATATGACATTTCCTTGGAGCTGCCCTTAACTTAGACTATTACATCATTATTTTTTTTGTTTGTTTTATATTTGACCAAAATATTCTGGTTTAGATACAGATATTTACAGAAGGCAGGGAAGAAGGGGACCAGGCCAGAGAGGGGCAGGTATATGTACAAGGCTGAGCTTCAAAGATCAAGAACTTCCATGTAAGAGAGGATTTTTGCGCGCGCTGGTTTCCATCCCATATGACAGTGTCCAGGTCTGGTGTATGGAGAGATGATAGCCACTGCCTACCCGGGCGCCAGTAGCAGGAGACTGACTTGAAAAGGACCGGGGTTTACAGGAGTCCAGCGGGTCCTTTCCGCTCTCCTAGGAGCCAGTAAGTTCGCATCTTTCCTTTTCCCTGGGAGTAGGGGAGTGGATATAGTTCAGATTCTTCTATATTATTCCTTTATCTCCCTCTCTTGCCCCATGACCCCCACAGTGACTTTCATCCTCCCTTTCCAGCCCCCTCCCCGTGGCCTGCCGTCACCTTCATCTCCACATCCCCCCGGAGCTCTAGCTGGAAGCATCCTAGCTCATCCAGGGCGTCCTTGGTGGTGGAGGAGACATGGATCTTCAGGGCTGGGCGGGATGGGGGATGGTGGAAAAAAGAAGAAAAGAAAAGGGGGCAACAGAAGAATTGGTGGTGTCCGAGGAAGCTTTGCCCAACCACCACCCCTCAGCAGGCTCTCGGTCTTCCCAGTGCCCATGCACCAGAACCTAAATATGTCCAAGGATGGGGCAGTTGGGAACTGTGGTCTCGGACTGAGAGATTTGGAGGAACTCTGAAAAGAAGAAAATGGGGGGTGGGAGAGGGGGGGAGGCACAGATTGAGACCGAAGCTGAGATTGAAAGCTAATGTCTCACCTTGACCGTTAGACTCCATTCGGGAAGCAGTGTTCACCGTGTCTCCAAAAAGACAATAGCGGGGCATCTTCAGGCCAACGACCCCAGCACAGACGGGCCCTGAGAGAAGAAACAGGTTGGAAGGGGCTGGGAAGGGTGGACACTGGGGCCGGAGTGAGAGTTCACCTCACCTGTGTGGACCCCTATGCGTAGCCTCAGCTGGTCATGGGGTCGGTGGCGAATGCGGAAGGAAGAAACTGCTTCCAGTAGCGCCAGGGCCATACGAGCAATCTCCGGGGCGTGGCGTTGACCATTTCGGCCGGGGAGACCAGACACCACCATGTAGGCATCTCCAATCGTCTCTACCTGATTGAGAGGAGGATTAAAATGTCACTTGTCTCTGTCTCAGTTCCCAGGGAAGAGTGAAAGGAGACAAGCTGAACACCACTTGTCTCCTGACAGCATTTGGGAGGTCAGAACATTGACTAGAAAAACAAGTGTATGGTCCCGAGAATACAGGGGCAAGAGGGTGGGGGTGGGGGGAGGGGGGAGAGGGTTTTACAACATTGTGCCAACTCAATGATTTCAACAAAAGGCTTTTACAACGTAGCTGGTCCCTCACCCCAAGGGGGGAGTCAAGGGAATCTTTAAATCTTCCTTCTCCACCCCAGTACCTGTGAAATACTCAGTAAATGTTTGCTAAATTAATGGATACCCTGTTTGCAACAGGACATGGGCAAATAGGCTCTGCTGTCAGGAAACAGGAAGCAAGAAAATAGGACAGAGGCTGGAGGAGGTCAAGCAGGCCCAATGAAATGGGCCTCAGACAGTCTAAACCAGCGATTCTCAACCTTTCTGATGCCGCCACCCACAGGTTGAGAACCGCTAGCAGGGTCACCTAAGACCATCGGAAAACACAGATATTTACATTATGATTCATTAACAGTAGCAAAATTACAGTTATGAAGTAGCAACGAAAATAATTTTATGGTTCGGGGTCACCACAACATGAGGAACTGTATTAAAGGGTTGCGGCATGCCGAAACCGGTTTGGCTCAGCAGATGGAGCGTTGGTCTGCGGACTGAAGGGTCCCAGGTTCGATTCAGGTCAAGGGCATGTTCATTGGTTGCGGGCACATCCCGGGCAGGGGGTGTGCCAGAGGCAGCTGGTCGATGTTTCTCTCTCATAGACGTTTCTAGCTCTCTATCCCTCTTCTTTCCTCTCTGTGGAAAATCAATAAAATATATTTTAAAAAATAAATTAAAAAAAAATAAAGGGTCGCGGCACTAGAAAGGTTGAGAACCACTGGTAAACTGTCAAAAGTAAGAATGCAGGTGCTTGGTTTTGTCCATTGTACTGAAGCTGTTTAAGAGAATGTCCCTGTCGTTAGGAACTACACACTGAACTGTTTAGGATAAAGGAGAACTATATCTGAAACTTGCTCTTAAATGCTTCAAAAATAATTATATAGGTTTTTAAGATTAAAAAAATGGGGGAAAATATAAGAAATTGGTGAATCAGCCCTTGCTGGTTTGACTCAGTAGATATCAGTAGGTGTTGGCCTGCGGACTGAAGGGCCTGGGGTTCAATTCCGGTCAAGGGCACATGTCAGGTTTGCAAGCTTGATCTCCAGTAGGGGGCCTGTAGGAGGCAGCCAATCAATGATTCTCTCATCATTGATGTTTCTATCTCTCCCTCTCCTTTCCTCTCTGAAATCAATAAAATATATATTTTAAAAATTGGTGAATCTTATAAAGGATTATGGGAAGTCTTTATTACAATTATAACAGAGATGGTAGAGTAAATCCAAAGGGACAGGATATTTATTAGCAATACGCAATGTTAAGCACTTTCCACAAGAAATCTATTCCCATATTACAAGTAAGACATCTGAGGCCCGGGGAGCTTCTGTTACTTGCCCAAGGCCACATAATTAGCCACAAAGCCAATGTGCAAATCCAAATGATTTTTACTCCCAAGCTCAATAAAGCACATTGTGCCAACTCAATGACTTCAACAAAAGGCTTGTACAACATAGCTTGTCCCTCACCCCCATTAATCATTCTGCACCCACATCCTGTATGACTCTTCCATGTCTGGAGGGGATGGAGAGAAGAGAAAAGATGGATAAGCTGTATTCATACCCTCAGGAAAATGTAGCAGATAGGGGCTGAATCTTGTGATGGTTCTGATTAGAGAAGCCTAACGATTCACAAGAAATTAGACTGGAAGGTACCGTGAGAGTGCCAGAGCCTCATTTGTCTACCAAGGGCATTTTGGCACTAGAGTACTGGAGGCTCAGGAGGGAAAACGACCACGGAACAAGTAAAGTATATAGGGTTCAGGGAGACTGGGTTTTAAAGGGTCTAAGTAAAAGGGTAGCCTCAAGCTCTCACCTTGTAGACATCGAAGTTGTCGATTATGGCGTCAAAGCAGGTATACAGGTCGTTAAGAAGTGTCACCACCTAATGAATGGATGGGAAAGTTGAAGCCCGGAGACTTGTGCCTAACTTTCTAAGAATTCTTAACCCAAGAGCCATATGGGAACTCTGGAACAAACCAATCTTTCCTACTATCAAGGGCCCCTTATGCCCCAGTGAAGCTCCCCCATGTCGCTATCCCACCCCCTAATCTCACCCATGGCTCTTACCTGCATGGGGGTGCTCTCTGCTGACAAAGCTGTGAAGCCAACGATGTCGCTGAAGTAGATGGTGACACTGTCAAAGGCCTCGGCCTGTACAGTCTCTCCCCGTTTTAACTGCTCTGCCACTGAACTAGAAAGCAAGGGTGCCATTTGAGCCAGGCTCAGAAAGAGGATGAGACAGAGAGAAAGGAAAGGAGTGTATGGATGGATCGGAAATGAGCTCTAACATGAAAGCGGAGTCTGGTGGAGAAGAAGGAAGGTGGCTGGGAAGCCAGCACAGTCTGGCACGAGCAAGGTAAGCTGTCGAGGTGATGGGGGCGAGGAATGGGCTCTCTGGGGATGGTGGCTACATGTCTCAAGTTGGGGTTGTTCTACATACACTTGCTGGAGCAAAGGCCTGGCAGACCAATGTCCTAAGAAGAAGGCAGCACAGCTCATTTGGAGACAGGATGGAAACAGTCTCCAGCCAGAAAGACTGTGGCCAGATGTAACAAAGCAGTTGGGAGGTGAGTTCTCAGGAGACTGGTGAGGCAGCGTCCAACAGAGCAGAATATCAGAGGAAGAGTCAGGAAGGGGGACAGAAGTCTCACTGGGGTAGAATTTGGTAGAGCAGAGCCTCAGCCTTGCGTTTCTCCTCCAGATAGGCCTGGGTGCGTTCCTCCACCAGCTTCTCCAAGTTATTGGCGTACTGCTCCATGCGCAGCAGGAGGTTGTCCAGTATGCTGGTGCCACCCTCCCTGGGGGAGGAGGCCAGAATATGGTACCTGCTCCATGGTTCTCAAGACTCCCAATACTTTTCTACCCAACCCACCCTTTTGGACCCGACCAGCCCCACCTCATCCACTAAGCCTGATGAGGCTTCTATCCCTGGGGAGCTCCTGCCCGTCAGCGCCCTCTCACTTGTTAAAGCGGCGAATGAAGCACTTAATCTGTCCAAAGTCTGGCCTCTCAGCTGGATCCTGGGCCCAACATCGCTCCATCAGCAAAACTAGTTCCTCATTCAGTTGGGTCCGGTCAATGCTAGGCCGAAAATATGGCCGCTGACCATTTCTGACCTTCTGAACAATTTCTGAAGGAGATAAAGGGGTTGGATGAAGAACAGCGCTCCCCCCCCCCCCCCCACCCCCACACACACACACACACACACACACACACACACACACAAAGGAGAGGGGGAGGGAATTGGGGTAATAGACTGACTCTCACCTTTGGGGCTGAGGTCCAGGCTCTCCAAGTAGAATGGACCACTGCGAAGTGCTATCTCCTGTAATATGATCCCAAAGCTATAGACATCAGCCTTCTGCATGCCTGTGGTTGGCAAGGGGTTCCCACTGAGTAGCTCTGGGGCAGTCCACAGCTTCTCTGAAAAGAGGGAATAGGCTGGCCAAGTCCTCAAAACAGGTATTCCCAAGACCACTTGGGTTCATTCCCATAATGTTCCCC